AGTGGGGCGAGAGACACGATAAAAGCAGATGCTACCGTTGATATCCCTGGCCTGGGCGGGGGGTTTTCTTCTAGTCTCGCTTCCTGGTGCAGGCTTTACCTGGTAGCAACACAGAAGCAATGCTCCATATGCCTCTTGGTGGAGTGGGGGTTGGTCTGGGGCTGTTGGCTCATGGAGGGGGGTAGCTTGGATGGGGTAGACAAAGAAGCACCCTGCCAACCTCCTGGTCCTACCCAGCACTGCATGCTGCTAGGGTTTGTCATGGCAGCTCTTCTTTGGAGGCTGTTTCCAGCAACATGCCTTCTGGCAGGCAGGCCGGCCAGGCTCCAGTCTGAAGGAGCTGCAGCAGCCCTGCCTCTGTGCTGGGGGAGCTTGGGAAAGTGACTCCCTTTCGTCTCTGTGTGAGTCAGGCTGGTGGTGTCCAGACAGTGGGAGTGACTGGAGCTCTCCGGATCGGAGCTGAATTCCTGCGGCGCTGGCACTGTCAGCACAGCCCGGGCCCAGCCAGGGTTTATATCGCTGCGCACCAGCTGGGTGAGTGACGTGCCGGAGCAGCCGGCCTGGGTGACAGACAGAAAGGCAGTTGCTGCAGGGTGGCAGGAGCCTAAATGGAAAGTGCAAGGCTGCAGCACAGCTGGGTGATGTGGTCGAGGCAGGTGCTGCTGCCAAGGCCAGGCTCGGTCCATGGTGCAAGCACCTTCCCACTGCCTGGGGCTTTTGAGGGGCCAGAATAATGCCCTGAACCCTGAACTCGCCAGTGAGCCAGGGGCAGCTGGGAAGGGAGGTGCTGTCTTCTTGCCACCCTCTCGAATGACCCACAGGAAGGTCTAGTCCTGGGGGCAGGGGATGCTTTTAGAGAGTTTGGTAGCTGGGATCACCGACTTCCCCTGCACAGGCTTCCCCGCAAGTTTGGAGGCAGCTGGCAGTTGCTTTTCTCTGCCTAGCTCATGGAGCTTGGAGTGGAGACTCATTTGATGCTGACAGCTCTTTGCACAGCACCGGTACTAGAAAGAGCTCGCATGGGCACAGAAGGGTCTCGGGCAGCTTTGTCCGCTGCAGGGATGGGGCATGCAGAGCCCTGCTGCCTACGCGCTGCCGTTCTGCCTGGTTTGTGATGTCTTCTACAGCGCAGAACACAGCAACCCCCTGGATAGAGCCTGCAGACTGATTAAAGGCTTACGAATGCCATGATTTGTGTCCCTGCAGACTTTTTCCAGGGGATATTCCATGATGCTGGCTTTGTGGATATCTGTCCCTACCTGTACTGGGATTCAGAGAGGCTGGATGTGGCTCTGGAGGACTTCCTGGAGGTGTTGGAGGTAGGGATGAGCTGTGTGGGGTGCCTCCTCGACCTAACCCGTGTCTGTGTGCATCCTACAGGGACTGAATGAGCACCTGCTCATGCTGCCCACTGAGCTCCCCTCTGGCTTTCAGAGCTCACCAGAAGGCGCCATCATTTTGCTGCATGCTCCTGAGGGAACCGGCCTGAGCCCTTGGCAGTGGGAAGAAGTCGCCCGAGTCATGGAGGCGAGTCGCCGGAGTCATGGAGAGCAGGGCAACACCGCTATTCTCCAGCTCTTGCTGCCACCTGCCCTGTCCCTGACACAGACAGATCCTCACCGCGTGTCCCCTCCCCACCCCTGCATCCACAGATGAAGCGTCTCTTCCCTTTCTTCGACATCCCTGGGCAGGGTCTGGCCTCCGGAGACCTGGACAAGGACGCCTGGGCTTTGCGGCACTTTGTGGCCAGAGGGTTCGAGCTCTTCTGTGCTCAGTCTTTCTCCAGAATTTTTGGCTTGTACGGTGCGTCCCGGGGCCCACGGAGGGAGGAAAGGGGCTGGCTGTGACTTCCCAAAGAGGGCAGGGAAATGGGGCATTACCTCCCTGCCAGATGTGAGGCAGCTGCTGAAAAAGCTCCCGGCAAGGGCTCAGGGACATGAGCCCCCCACAGCTTCTCCTTCCCCGCAGAGCAATGCTTGCAGGGGTGCCTGTGAGAGTACGGCCAGCCCGGTGCCCCTCTGGCATGGTGCGGGGCCCGAGCGTGGACGCTAGGTGTCACTGCGAGCAGGGGAACGGGTGATGCGGGAGCAGAATGGAGGCATGCTTGTGGTGCAGTCTCGGGGCAGTGGGGTCTGCAGGTTGGGGCTGGGCTGGTGGCATCTGGCGGAGAGGGAGGAGGCAGGAAGAAGCTGGCCTGGGACAGGCCCGGCAGTGCCTATCCTACGCACGGGGGACACGCATCAAACGTGCCACGTTGCCCTGGTCCCTTGGCAGACGAGCCCGTGGGGAACCTGATCGTGGTGGCGAGGGACAACGTGGCACTGACCCGCGTCCGGTCCCAGCTGGAGAAGGTGGCGGCAGCACTGTGGGCCAGCCCCACCTGCTTCAGTGCCCGCGTCATTGCCACCGTGCTCAACAACCCTGCCCTGCGCAGCAAGTGGTAAGGGAGGGGCGGGGGGCGGTCCCTGGCGGGTGGCAGGACGGACCCTGAGTTGATATCTGGAGCAGACGGAGGCTGCTGGAGACTTCAGGTTACAGCCCTGTGTTTCCAGGGCCTCTTCTGGCCTGGAGCATCCTAGGGTGCTTTGCAAACCACAAGCAGCACGATACAGCCAGCTCTGGGGTGGGGGATCCTGGAGAAAATCTTCCCTGCCTGACAGCACCATGCAATTTTTGCTGCCCACTCAAAGCACCCAGGGCCTGGCCCTCCAATCCAAGCCCCATGCACATTGCCAGCCTAGACTTGCAGAGTCAGGAAAGGCCCCCACTACAGGTCTTTCCCCCCTGTGAGCTCCCTGTTCCCCATCTCCGGCCCCGCAGGAAGCAGAGTCTCCGGGCCATGGCGGAGAAGATCATGTTGATCCGGGCCAAGCTG